CTTCAAAGGAGGCCCCTGTGCCAGTGCCAAGGCCCTGCCCTGGTTACCCTGCACTGCTGGCCCAGTGCGACAGAGCTGGGTGATTCTCTGGGCCAGAGCTGGTCCCAAGGCCCTCCTCGCCTGGCCTCTCTGATTGTTCTCCATTTGCCAACAGTCTTCCGTCCTGCAAGTCTCTCATTCTAGATGAATCTAAACCCTGGCCTCCAGCCCAGGTCGAATCCTGCTTCTCCCAAACTCTTTCTCTGACTTCCTCTGAAACAGGGGACAAGGACTTGGGCCTCAGTTGGAGATCTTTATTCCAAAGGGGGTATTTATCCGAAGAGGGGGAAGATCAGAGGGAGCCCCATGGGTGGACTAGGATCCCTGGATCCATACCAGGAGAGATTTTCTAACAGTCATTCAGAGACAGGGCATAGGGAGCCTTGAGAGGTGATGAGCTTCCTGTTCCCAGGGACATCATAGCAAAGGTTGAGTTGGAACTTGGCAGGGATAAACAGATCTCGTAATGCCTTAGCTCCTCAGTTCCTCTAAGCTCCTTCTAATGGGAGATGCTAAGTAACTGAATTGTATTAAAAGTAACTTCACGCCTCGAAGCCTTGACCCTCCACTGTCTGATAGCCCCCTAGGATCTAGGTCCTGGCTTATTCCTCTCCTGTGCCCCTGTGCAGGCCTGGGCACCCAGGAGGTCAGCAAGTGGGGCGCCCGGCCCTGGCCTCCCCAACCTGGCCAGGCCTGGTTAGTTCTGCTCTGGCTCTCAGGAGGCACCAGGTAGGCAGGAGCGGGTGGCTGGATGACGAGTTTCTTCCTGAAAGAGGGGACATGCTGCTGGGCAGCTGAGCAGCTCTCTCATAGCCTTGTCTGTTCCTGACTCCATCACAAACAGCCAAGGTAAACGTGGGGCCGCCCTATTGCTTCTGGCTCCAGGTTGCCCCTGGTTTATCCCAGCTGTATCCCAGCGGGCAGTCCAGAGGTCAGGTGGGGCCCAGGGGTGTCTTCTAGGGGCTTGGAGCCGGACCCGGCCCTGATGCTCATCCCGATGTCATCTCATTCAGCTGGACCTCTGCTGTCCCTCTTCAGGAGGGCACTCTTCCAGCTCAAGTTTCATCTATTTCAGGGACTCACACAGCTGGGCCCGCTGGTGGGRTGGTTATTTTGGAGTTTGCTGGCTGCCTGCAGCTGCTCCTGGCCCACGGGGTGGAGGGGAAGGGGAGAGGACATATTTGGCTGGGCACCGACCCTGGGGACTGGTGCCGTGTTTAGCAGTTTCCCAACAGCTCCCAGGACCTGGCTTCCAGCTTCAGCAGTATTTCGAGCAAGGCCAGACGGGCCACTTCCCTATCTCCTCCATCCCCTAATGCTCCTCCTTCCTTCTTTCTCTTCTTTGCCCTCTGGCCTCCACATGTGCGCTTCCTCTGGGCCTTGAGTCAGTGATTTCATTCAAATGAATATTTTCCCAGTGCCCATCAGGATGGATGTAAAATCCTACATTAGGGTTCAAAAAGTTGATGGTCTGAGTACAGGTGGCTGACCTTGGCTAACAAACCCACCCGAATATCTGAAGTTCTCAGGGACCTTGTGGGTGTCAGGGGCTCCACTGGATCCTGATCCTGCAAATGTCACAAGGGAGGCAGCTGCACTCCTGCTCTCCAGTGAGCCCTGGGGGCTGCGGGAAGTTGCTCACTCCAAGCTACCAGCCAAGTGCTAGATTGGGCATTTAAACCCAGGCCTGGAATACCCCAGAACCCGTGCACTGGCTTCTGAACCACTTGGCATGTAAACAATGGTAACAGTGGCTCGTATTGACCTAATGACTCTTACGTGCCAGGGTTTCTACTAGGTGCCCAAGGACCTTATTCCATTTCATCTTCACATCGTCCTTCCTAAGGGCGGGATGAGAGTAACAGATTTTGTGTGAATCAGTAGACTCAGATATGACTGCCCAAGAAAAGGGGCCCCATGAAGTTAAGCTGCTTTTCCAAGGTCATGTGGCAATGTCATAAGGCAGTGGCAGTCAGGATTTGAACCCAGGGTGATGATTTCAAACTCACTGCACTTGACTGTGTCCCTATTCTGCCTACCAGCATATGGATTTTGGTTACTGAGAAAGCCCAAAATACTCTAAGGTTACATTAATAGATGTATCATTGGAGGTGATGGCCAAACTGTCCCTTGAAATGGTCCATGTGCATATGGAATTCTGAGTCTGTTCATTGTCTAATGAACAGAGGTGGAAGATGAGTGGGCAGTCTGTGTATTCCTTGAGGAGGGGTGTCTGACAGGCCTGGAGGTACTGGATTAGATACCAAGAGGTAGATTTTGTTTAAGAGAAGGAAACACATTCTTAAAGGCAGATTAGCTCAGGTGAGAACAGATTGCCTGTGAGGTTGAGGAAATCTGGTAATAGGTGATTTCAAGTAAGGACTCCTGAGGGGACAGAGACCAGGATAGCTCACGCCCAGCCCTGTCAGAATACAAGGCCTGTCTTGTTTATTTAACCCCTTCTGCAGAGGCAATGTCCCCAAATTTGGCTGGTGTCACAAGAAGCCACACTAGGGTCTTCCCAGCTTGCTCTTGGGGGATAGGCTGGGTAGTGCAGGGGTCCACATGCAWTTGGGCCCAGCGGACAGCTTAGTTCCTGAAGGCTCTGGCTGGGCATTTTGAAAGACTAAATTCCCCTTCTCCCTACTGCTCCCTCCCTTCCCCTTCTCCATTTCTCTGGAGTCCCCAAGGGCCAGTTCCTGGAACCCCTGGGAGGCCAGGGAGCAGGGACTGTTCCCAGGAACAGGTCAGCCACTAGCCTTCCCTGCTTCCCGCCTCTGTCCCCCAGGCCTCCCCTCCTGTGCAGGCCCTCCAGTCTCCACGCAGCCCCCAGCCTCTGTGCCGTTGCTGTCACAGAGTCAATTCCCCGGAATAATCGCGTTTTCCAGTTGGCTCCCTCCTTCTCGCCAACACGATGCTGGGAAACCCTAACCAGCCAGGCCCCAGGAGGCCTCTGCAGAGTGGCAGGAGACTTGGGGGTGGGAGCAGCACCCCAACCTCACAGGCCCCAGATAACATGGTTCCTGGAAGGGCCGCGGAGGCAGGAGAACAAAGCCACGGAGGCTTTGGAGACTGGCTCTGTGCTCAGCTGGAGCTGAACTCTGGTCTCTGCTGTCCCTACCACATCAGTCCCCCAAGCTTCCCTGTCATGGCAGAGCACACAGCTGCCCTCGTCCAGTTCTTGAAGAGAAAGCACAGAGAGGCATTGATCCATGGTGTGGCTTCCAGTGGCACCAACCAAATTTGGGGACATCAACTCCATTGAAAGAGTTCAGTCAGGAGGCCTAGGAAGTGACGAGTATGGCGTGGGGTGGGAGTTGGGCAGAGCTGGCTTTAATCTTGGATCAACCGCTTGGTGGCTGTCATACAACATCCCTGAGCTTTATCTGTAAAGTGGGCCCTCCTCCATGGGCTGCTTTAAAGTGAAATGGATTCATGGCACATAGTGATTACTTTCCTTGTAAGTTTATGACTCCATAAAGCAGGCTATTAAAAGCCATTAAAAGAATATGGCATTGGATCTGGGCACTGGTGGTGCATGCCTGTGATCCCAGCAACTTGTGAGACAGGCAGGAGGATCATGGGTTTGAGGTAAGCCTGGGCAATTGAGCAAGATTCTGTCTCAAAATAAAAAGGGATGAGCCTGTAGCCCAGTGGTAAAACACCCCTGGGCTTAGTCCCCAGTATTGGAGGGAAAAAAGAAAAAGAAAAGAAAAGACTATAGTGTTGGAAACAGTTACAGTTGTGAAAAAGAAAATTCATAGTGCAGGGTTCTTAGCCTTCAGGATATTCACAGGTGTCCTGAAGTTTTCCATAGAATTTAGTGAAAATGTGTGTATTTTTCTGGGGAGATAGGTCAAAGTTATGATAACATTTTCAAAGTGATTTGCTAACCAGAAAAGGTTGAAAACTTCTAGTGTTTATATAGCATAACTCAAATTTTTGCATTAGGACAGTAACCAAAAAAAAAAATTTTTTTTTAAATTGCTTATACTAGGGATTGAACTCAGGTGCACTCAACCACTGAGCCACATCCCCAGCCCTATTTTGTATTTTATTTAGAGACAGGGTCTCACTGAATTGTTTAGTGCCTGGTTTTTACTGAGGTTGGTTTGAACTCTCGATCCTCCTGCCTCAGCCTCCCAAGCTAAGGGAATTACAGGCATGACTGTGCTCTACTCCCCATTTTTTTTTAAAGGCTGGGAGAGCATGATCCAGATGTTTAAAGTGCTCTTCTCTGGGTGGAGGGCCAGCAGATGGTTATTTTTCTTTCTGCTGAACTGTATTTTCTACAAACCTTATTTCTATAAAATAATTTGTATGACTTGTCTGATTAAAGAGAAAGGGTTTGACTCCCAGTTAAATCATTCTCAAAAGGCTTTCTTGGATGAATGGACTCAACTTTTTCTTCAGTCTTGGTGTCCTTATGTGGCATGGTAATCTCAAAAGACAAGTGTTATGATCAGATGATTCAATTTCTGCAAAGGAGTCGGGGAGAGGGTCCCTCTGGCCCCCCAGTGTGTTAGAATGTCATCAGTGCATTCAGTAAGACAAATATTTATGTTTGCCTACTAAGTGCTGCGCTCAGCTCTAGATGCTGGGATACAGAAGGGATACATTTACGAAAAGGGTCCTACCCGCTGACTGTAGGCAATAAGGAAAATACACACATCACCAAGAGCGCAACCAGCAATTTTAAGCATTTAGAAGCAACCATAGGGTCCTGACGTTGGTGTCTTCCCTTCCAGCCTCCTTTGGCTAGACAGATTCCTGTGCAACCTTGCTCCCTGATTTTGCTCACTAATTTATGTCATAAGYATTTTCCATCCCATTAAGCATTCGGTAAGTGTTTCAGTGGTGCAGACTTGAAACACAGCAAGAATCAGGCCGCGGGGGCCTCCCCCGCGGGCCGCCCGGGTCTGGGGTGACGGTCGCCCGGTCTCCCGCTCTCTCCGCTGCAGACAGCGAGCTGGTGCTGCCTGATTGCCTGCGGCCGCGCTCCTTCACCGCCCTGCGGCGGCCGTCACTGCGGCGCGAGACCGACGAGGCGCGCCTCTCGGTGAGCCTGTGTGACCTCAACGTGCCGGGCGGCGACGGCGACGACGGCACGCCGGCCGCTGGTTGCCCGATCCCGCAGAACTCGCTCAACTCGCAGCACAGCCGCGCGCTCCCCGCGCAGCTCGACGGCGACCTGCGCTTCCACCCGCTGCGCGCCGGAGCTCACGTCCGCATTCTGGACGAGCAGACGGTGGCGCGCCTGGAGCACGGGCGCGACGAGCGCGCGCTTGTCTTCACCAGCCGGCCGGTGCGCGTGTCCGAGACCATCTTCATCAAGGTCACGCGCTCGGGCGGCGCGCGGCCCGGCGCGCTCTCGGTTGGTGTCACCACGTGCGACCCTAGCACACTGCGGCCAGCCGACTTGCCCTTCAGCCCCGAGGCCCTGGTGGACCGCAAGGAGTTCTGGGCCGTATGCCGCGTGCCAGGGCCACTGCACAGCGGCGACATCCTGGGGCTGGTGGTGAATGCCGACGGAGAGCTGCACCTCAGCCACAATGGTGTGGCCGCTGGCATGCAGCTGTGCGTGGACGCCTCGCAGCCTCTCTGGATGCTCTTTGGCCTGCATGGGGCCATCACGCAGGTCCGCATCCTCGGTGAGTGCTGGGGCGTGGGTCCTCCTTGGTGTGGGGGCGATATGGGAMTAAAGATCCCTGCCTTTAAGGATGGTCATGGGTCTAAATGAAAGTTTGGTATGTCAGTAGCCAGGTGTCTCAGCAGGRTGGTGCCTGGGTTGAGGGGTTAGAGGAACACCTGAGCAGGTGGCCTTGGGGAAAATGGGGTTGCAGAGCTTTAGGTTTGCCTTTTCTGGGGGGAGGGACACAGTTTGAATGGACTGCAGAATGTGAATTTGTGTAAGCCATGTTTCCCAGATAGTTCTATAAGGTGTTAATAGGTACTCTTTGAAAAGGGGTCCTTGTGGTTAAAAGGTTTGGGAAACATGGAGTTAAAAAGGGGAGTGGGATGAGTGTTTCTTGCAGGACTTCTCGGAGCCTTTAATACATGGTGAGAATCTTAAGTTGATGATGGTTATAGTGTACAGTTTTTCCAAACTAATTTGATCAGAAATTTTTTCCTTTTTCTCCACAAAGCGTCTCCTTGGACCTCTGTTACCCCAGAGGGAGCAGTTCTGGTCTGCTAACCAGCTTTCCATTACACTGCGCTGTTTCATTAGCCTCACCTGGAGAGCCTAGTAAAGGGAAGATTCTTGGATCCCTCCTCCAGAGATTGCTATTCTGTAGATCTTGGATAGGTTCCTGGCATCTGCTTTCTTTCTTTCTTTCTTTTTTTTTTTTTTTTGTTCAGTGCTGGGGATGGAACTCCAGCCTGGCACATGCTAGGCAAGCACTTTACCACTGAGCTACATCCCCAGCCCTGATCTCCAACCCTGCCTCCCCTCCACAAAGCAAAGTAGGCTTTGCCAAGTTTGGAGCCCTCTGGGCCTCACAGCCCCAGCAGGCTTGATAGTTTGAATTGTGTGTGTAAATGTGTGAGTCCGAGCTGCTCTGAGCATGGCATACTGGGTCGAGGTCGTGTGAGTAACTAAATGCGTGCATGGTTGTGTGTGTGCTGCTGTTGGTGATTGCAAGAGTGGAGAGCCTGTGAAATCAGATAAAGTCAGTGGGCCTCCCAACTCTGGAAAGAGCAAATAAAGAGGAAATGAAAAATAAATGAATAATGAATGAAAAGAGGCTAGGGTGCTAAGAAGTTAGAGCTGCGGGAAGATATAAATCAGGAAGGAATGAAAGATTAGATGAAAAGAAACCAGATAGAAGGAAGATGAATCAGGCTAGGATGGGAATTCAGGATGGAATAAAAAGAAATGGATAGGGGAGAAAAAAACCTTCAAGCTGAGATGAAGAGATACTGAGCTGCACTCACCAGGAGACACTGCTTCTCAGAGAAATAAAATTACATAAGGGCAAGGTACTCTCTTGCGTCAGTACCATCTAATAATAGATAAGTAGCTTTCCAGTAAGGCTGTGCTGCCCAAAGAGGCTTACGAGACTGGAGCAAAGGGRAAGTAAAAACAATAAAATGAGGACTTTCCTGTGCCAATGATAAGCGAGCCGAAGTGGATGTAGAAGAGTAACCATCCAGAATTCACCGTCTGTTAAACAGAGTGCTCCAAGCTGTTTGGAGAATTGGACATCCCATCCAGCAAATTGGTGGTGTGAGACACTCACTTGACTCCAAAGGAAAACCCAATCCGTGGCCATGTAGGAAGGGTCACTGTTGATCTTACAGAGGAAAGTTTGGCTTTGTGGAAGGCCTCTGTAAACTTAAGAATGGAAGACTTTTTCCTTCACTCATGAGCACCGCCAGACCTGCAGCCAATTTCATACTTATCGTCAGAACATTAGAAATATTCTCATTAAACATAGGAATATAGCCAGGCATGGTGGTGCCCGCCTGTAATCCCAGTGGCTTGGGAGGCTGAGGGAAGAGGATCACAAGTTCAAAGCCAGCCTCAGCAACTTAGCAAAGCCCTAAGCAATTCAGAACCTGTGGTTAAGCATCCCCTGCGTTCACTCCCTAGTATAAAAAATAATAATAGGAATATAAGTAGAGATGCCTTAGAAACACTGTTCCAGAAATGCTAGCCAGTGTGATAAGACAAGGAAAGTAAATAGGTGTGTGTTTCTGATGGGACATGACGATGGTCTTAAAAAGATATCAACACAGTAAGAGAAGCGCTCTGGACATTTATTGAATTTGCTTAGGAATAATAACACTATTGAGTTAGAGCTAATAATAAAAAGCCCCCTTGAGCCCCTGACTGTGTGCAGGGATTCTGTTAGGGTCTTGGGAGAGCCACAGGTGAATGATGGTTCTTGTTCTAAGAAAGCTTGTGGTTCAACTGGAGAAATAGAGCTGGATTCCTGGCAAAGAATGGATAATATCCCTGGCCTGTGGTGGTTCGGTCTGTATCTGTAGTGGGTGTGGGGTTGGTCATGGCTGGATGGACCAGTGTGGTTTTGGGGAGTTGAGGCTGTCCAGAGAAAAGGGGATTGAAGGCAGCTCCACTAGGCTGCTTGGGCAGTTAGCTCTTTAAGGACAAGGGCTCTGTCTGCAGCTTGTGTAGACAATGCCTGGTCCCTGTAGGCCCTCAGAAAGGATTAGTTGAAGGAAGGAGGGAGGGAAGGAGGGGAAGAAGGGGATAGGAGAGAGGACAAGGGGATAGGAGAGAGGACAAGGGGAGATAAGGGGGGGAGAATGCAAGAGTAGGACACATGGGAGGAGGTGAGGTGTTGGCTGCATCAGTGCCGAAGAGGTGACATCTGGGAATGGTGGGAAGAGGACAGGGCTCTAAACAGGAGGTGCGGCAAGGGGCAAGGAAGGTGGGACTTCATTGTTTGGACTGGAGTCCTTGGGCTGAGGTGGGACTCCACGGAGACCTGGGAGCCCACGCTGGGGCAGGCCCCAGCCTTCTCGCTTCAGGCCAGGTGGTGAGTGCAGCCCCCTCTCCCTGCCGCCCTCACTGCAGGCTCCACCATCCTGGCCGACAGAGGCATCCCATCGCTCCCCTGCTCCCCGGCCTCCACACCAACCTCACCCAGTGTCCTGGGCAGCCGCCTGTCTGATCCCCTGCTCAGCGCGTGCAGCTCTGGCCCTCAGGGCAGCTCTGCTGGTGGTAAGTAGAGTCCCATGTGCTGTGTCAGACTGTCACCCCTGAGGGCTCCTGCCGAGGCAGGGGTGCAGCTGCTGTCAGGCTGGGAGTGAAGRGGAGCTGGACTGTGGGGTGGTGACTTCCGGGGTGTCTCTCTCCTGTCCCCAGTGGGCAGTTTTTTAAAAAAAAAATTTTTTTTTAAAGTACACAGAGAATGCCAAAGGGTAGCTCAGGAGGGATCTGCCTTAGATTTGGGGCCCCTTCCCTTCACCATGCCTCCTTCTTTCCCTCTCTGCTGCTCATGCTTCCCTGGCCCCTGATCTGGGGGCTGAGTGGTTCAGAAGTGGGGCTGCCCTGCGTTCAGTGTCATCCCTTGTGCAGGGAGTTGCGTTGTTGGGGTGAACAGGCAGGTCTCCGTAAATGGATTGGGGTGCAAGAGGCCAGGGGCCCCCTTCCCGTGAACCCTGTGCCAGGGATACTGGGTGGAGGCCGTGTGAGTAACTGAATGCGTGCATGGTTGTGTGTGTGCTGCTGTTGGGGACTGCAGGAGTGGAGAGCCTGGGAAATCAGGGGACCCAGCCACATCTGCTCCTGACCGGTGCCCTTTGTGTCCAGGGACAGCCCCCAACTCACCGGTGAGCCTGCCCGAGTCTCCAGTGACCCCGGGCGTGGGCCAGTGGAGTGACGAGTGCACGATCTGCTATGAGCACGCGGTGGACACGGTCATCTACACGTGCGGTCACATGTGCCTCTGCTACGCCTGCGGCCTGCGCCTCAAGAAGGCCCTGCACGCCTGCTGCCCCATCTGCCGCCGCCCCATCAAGGACATCATCAAGACCTACCGCAGCGCCTAGCCCTGTGGGCCCCTATGTAGACATCAGCCGGCTGCTGCTGAGGGCCAAGCCCAGGGCCGCTTCTCTTCCTCATCCTCCTCCATTAGACGCAGGAACCCGAGGCTCCTGAAGGCTTGGGCACGGAGCAGGTCCGAGGCAGGAAGGCGGGGGCAGAAGCACATCACTGGGCAGAGAGGGGAGAAGGCCACACTCCCCAGTCTTTCCCTTCTTTGCATCAGTTCTTCCCTGCATGACGAGGGGCTAAACTGAGGTCAGCCTGTCCTACACCTTCCCAGTCTGGGGCAGATTCTAGGAGGTCCCTGTAGCCCATGTGGCACCTTGGTGAGAATTAAAAAGTGTGGATCTTCTAATGGACAGATGCTGCCCTAAGCCAGGGCATGTGGCTGGGTCAGTGGAGTAGGGACTGGATTTTAGCCTCCATTTTCTCCTTTAGCCAGTGACTCTTGAGCAATGCACAACCTGCTCAACAGCAGCCCACAGTGGGCKGCTCCTGAGTTGCTCACTCTGATCTGGACCCACCTTCTCTTTCCCCTCTTCCCTGCCGATTGGGACTGGCAGCAGGGGACAAGAAGGCCAGTTAACTCTTCTTACCCCAGGCTGTGGAGGGCTCTAGGTTCTGGATCCCTGGCCCTTCTGGGCTGAAAGGACTCCTTTCCAGCCATGGTTCTGTCCCATTCATCTCGCCCTTGCCCTTGCGCAGGAGTGCCCTTTGGTATGGGGTGGGGACAGGTTTGTCTTTGGTGAAGGTCTCTAAGCACAGGTCTTCAGCTGCCCCCACCCCCACCTGTCCTCCCGCATCTCAGTGCTGGCCTGGGCCCAGGACGATCTCAGAGGCTGTACTGTGCCAAGGAAGGRCCGTGGCTCCTGGTGAAGGTGGGGGGTCCCCAACGAAGACCAGCCTTTTCCCTTACTTTAATTTATTTATTTATTTGGTTGGTGGGTTTTATTGGTTTGTGGGTGAGTTCCCATCTCCTGAGCCCCTAGAAATGCCATCCTGTATATGGGTGCTGGCGCGGGGACAGTAGTGGTCATCATCACTCAGATCTTCCCCAGGCCCCGTCTGGGAAGCTCACGGCCAGCCTAAGTTGGAACTCCATCTAAAAGGGCCAAATGGGGCCACTTCCTGGCCAACGGTGTCCATTTTGTAGAGAGGCACACTGAACCTCCACAGTGCCCTGGGGCTGGTAGGTCACCCAGCACCATGAAGTGCTCTTCCTTCCCGAGCAGAAGCTGGGTTATCATGGTTGGTTCTGGAATCGCAAATGGCCCAGGAGTCTCCTTTCCATAAGGACATCAAGTGCTCCAAGAGGGCGCAGGCAGGGAGCCCAGCATGGGCCAGCGAAGGACCGGGGGACCCTTGTCATAGGAGGGCAGGGAACCTGCTCTGGGAAAGGCTCTCCACCCTGGAGCAAGGTCCTGGCTCCTGCCCTACCTGTTCTGAGGTTGTGGTCACCTCAGCCCTGGCCACCTGTTCTGGGCTAGGCCAGTGCAGTCTTGGCCTAGCCCCCCTGCTTCCCAGCCTCCGTCATCAGGTGACTCTAGTGTACCCTCAGAGACAGCCTCTCCCTTGACCGGCAGAGCCTGGGGCTCTAGCCCTGGCCAGGCGGCTGCCCTGAGCCTCAGCTTCCTGTGTGAGGTGGCTGTTTGGGGGGGCAGACTTTCTGGATGGCTCTTGGGAGTTCTCTGTGGGGTATTGCCAAGAGGTGGTGTGATGGAAGCATGGGACAGGACTCTTGGCCAGACAGGCACCTGCGCTGGACTTACAGGCACCTTGGGGAAGTCCCTGGACCACTCTGGGTCTTGCCTTCCGGGACCCTGCCTCTCAGACCTGCGGCAGGAGTGGGCTGGGGCGTCAGTCAGACAGGCACAGGTCCCAGAGGTGAAAGGGCCAAGTGCATGCAGGGGCTGCCCCGCTGGGGGCTGGGGAGAAGCCATCATCCACTGTTAGTGCAGGGGTAGCTGCTGCCTCACACCTTTGTGAACTCCCCCATGGGGTCGCTGTGATTGTGAATAAAGGTGATTTCTACCAGCCCGAGGGCTCTGCTGTGCTGTGGAGGCTGAGAGGGAGGGCCCGTGTGTATGTGGGCATACACATGTGTGGGTGRGGTTACCCAAAGTGTGGCTCTGGGAGAAAACAGTGGGCCTCTGAGGCCCCAAGGTGGCTGAGACAATCAGGCCAGGCTCCCAGGAGTTGTGGGGCCAGAACAATACCYGTGGCTTGTTCAGCAGGGGCCATGGTACCTGGTGAGCCCTGTAAGTTGGAAGCGAGAAGCCCTGGTTCTCCTGGTGGCCTCAGAAGCCTGGGTCTGTGGGAGCAGGGTGTGGTCCATGCAGTGGGAGCCCAGGAGGATTCTGGGCTTCTCAAGGCTGAGCAGGCCCAACCTGGATAGGAGCCTGTGGGGTGGTGGCACCACCTAGGGGAAAGTGAGGGAATGACAGGTCCTCCTTCCAGGTGAGCAGGGCTGGCTGTGTCCTCCCTAAGCTCAGGCCTCTCCAGTGGCTGAAGCTCAACTATTTTCTTATTGGTGGGTGCAGAGGCCTACACCACACTGGTGGTACAGCTGGGGAGAAAAGGAAAGTCACTGGACAGGGACCCCTGGAGGAACTTTCTAAGATATGCTAAGCACATCTGAGTAGCTGGAAGAGCCAGGGGCGGTAGGAAGACAGCCAAACTGACCCCAAGGTGTGGGCACACCACCTTGAAATTGCACTTATTTGGCAGGGCCAGGCCTCAGAGGCACATGGGATATCTGCCTACCCACCCTGTATCCTGGCCTCCCAGGATCAGCCTGGTCTTGAACCCAGGACCATGCCGCTCTGCTTACTGCAGTTCAGTACAGATAGGTGGGTTCAGGGGTTCAAGCTGAGGCCCAAGCTTGGCCACCCCTGAGGCATGGATGGGGCTGGGGAAATTTGTCTGATTCTCATAGTAGGGACATACATCCCCCTCCTGAGTCCTCTCAGAGGCCTGGGATTCTGGAGTCTGTGCTGAGTTTGGGATAGAGGGACCTCTGCTATCCGGCTGAGTGAGGGAGAATTAGGTGATTTATGTACAGTTAAAAAGGTCAAAAAACTTTATTTAGTTTTTAGGGAAATACAAGATGCATGTAAACATAAACAAAATACAAAACAAAACAACCCAAATCTTACAGTCTAGAAGCATGCCAAGACAGCATCTCTGCAGACCGAAGAGTCCCGTCAAAGTGATAAAGGACACCTGGAAAGTGGCAGGCCAAGGGGCTGAGTCCCTTCCCCAAGGACACTGCATTTTTGTGATGAGATAAAAAAAAAACTTCACTATTAAAAATATCAGAAACATGGAGATAGTTTAGCACCACCATGGATCCTGGGATGATCTGCACCCACCCTGACGRCACTGCACTTACTGCCCTTCTCTCCAGCTTCTCTGCTGAGGCGGAAGAGGGAAAAACCCAGAGGACGGGCTTCTCCCACTAAGAGCCCACTAAGGGCTGGGTGGGGTGAGTAGACACCACTAGGAGTTCCTTGCAATTCTGGAGCCCAGTGACACCCACCATTTCRCTTCAGACCCTGGTTCCGGGATGGCCACTCTGTCATGCTGAGAAGTYACCTTCCTGTAGACCTGTCGGTACCTGGCAGGGATACCCATTCCCCATCTGGCAGCCTGSATTTAAAGAAAACCTACTGCAGAGAACAGCTGTAAATGCAAGAATGGAATAAACTCTAAGAACAGTGTGCCCTAGTTAGAAGCCACTAAAAAATGGAAGAGCACATATCCACGGGTGGGTGTGTATCTCACCTGGTCTACTTCATACCAGGGAGGCCAACTCTGCAAATGGAACCACCCCCGGTGTCCAACAGAGTGCCTTTGGAACAACTGGTATCAACAGAAAGATGAGTGAGGCCACCTTCCTCCCAGGTGGAGTCCAGTTTGGGATGGCAGATCCCTATTGCATGGCCTGTCATGGTCACTGTTCTGATTTGTAAAGTTTGAGACTGGCTCTGGAATAGGCAAAGGGTAGTGGACAGACTCAGAAGGGAACCTGGGAAATGAAAGTAACTYTCCTGGAAACAGCTTGCAGCACCCCTTCCCCATGAAGTCGATCAGTAACCATTCCCTGAGACCCAGCTTGTGACCCAGTGAATGGTAGTTTCCTTTGGCCAGCTTCTTCTATGGCTAGGTTTCGAAGACTGTCCCACCTCCAGCTCTGACTGGACCCTTGTGTGTTGGATCATGAAGCTTCCTGTCTACCTGCTTTCTCTTTTCTTCCTGAAACACTCACCATCCACCTCTTCCTCATTTCTAATAAATAAAGACAAAAACAAACCTCCGAGCCCTCTTTCAGCCCTCCTACACCTTCTTCTGTCTGGAAGATATCCTCTTTTGGAAGCTTCCTTCCTGGTGAAGGGACGGGAAGTCCCAGCCACCCCAAACGTGCACACACTCTTGCCAACGTGCCTCTCACTGGCTTCAACGTGCTCAATCAACCCTTTTGCCCTGAATCACTTTTCTCTCACACACACCTCTTGAGGCCTAGCCCATGGGCCAGGGTGGATCTGGGAGCAAGGCAGGGGCCTCCAGCACAGGGGACCCCACTCTCAAAGGCCACTCAGTTTTAGGACTGGGAAGGGAGAGGGTGCTGATTGTCAAGTGCAAACATGAGATTTAGATGGAATAGGGGAGCGAGGACTGCATGCGAATCCTGGCCTTACAGGTAGGTTGGGATCAAGGCCTTGGAAGGTGAAGCCCTTGACCCAGTCTATAAGCACCATCCTGGGCCTTGTGGCCTGGGGATTCCAGGCATGTAGGACAAAGCTGGAGAGAAGTTAAAACTTGGGGCTCTTTCCCCTAAGGCTGTAAGTTACTGACCCTGTCCTCTCACTGGCTCTGATCGTGGAGCTTGGGAACCACAGAGAAATATGGCACAGCCTCAGTGAGGAGATTTAGCCAAAAAGCTCGGTCAGGTCCAGGGGAGCCCTCCACGCTACTTTCCTGACATATTCAGCCGGTGTCCGCATGCGCAGGTCTTGCTGTGCACACTGAGRATCAGTTCTCACCCCGCCCACTCTGCCTGCCCTCAGAAATGAGAACCAAAGGGTCAGCAGTGCTTGTCTCAGGGAATCTCAGACTGATGACTCACAGGGTGAGAGGTGGGAGCCTGTAAGGTGACTCTCGTCTGCAGGTCGGTGACCTAATGGAACCACCTCAACACTTCCACACCCAGTGGTATCTCTTTTCCACATCTTCATTTGGAGCCTGGGACGATGGCCTAGGCTGCTTCTGCTAGACCTGATAACGCCAGTGTGAAGTTTCCAACTAAATAATAATATTATTACAAAAAAAAAAAAAAAAAGACACATTGCACTCTCCAGCCAAAAATTGTGTGTATGAATGACACACAGACTTGATGCCAGAAGCTGCGAGTCCCTTGGGACCTGCCCAATGCCAAGGACTTTTCAGTGGAGACAGCTTGCCCGGTGTTTTTTTTTTTTTCTTTCTTTCTTTCTTTTTCTCTAACCCCATGTTATTAGTTCAAGCGGGAAATTACCAACACGCACACGCACACATGCATGCACACATGTGTGCACACACACTCAACTCACAACCCTCAAAAAAGTGAGGRAATCGTAATTTTTTAGCGATGTGGACAGTTCTCTTTCTAGAGAGCTCTGCATCAAGATTCTCAAAGATGATTGGCTATGTGGATGTGTCATTCCAAGGGAGACTCACACAGGGGCTTGAGTCCTACTCTGGGCACAGAGATCCATGTCTGTACAGAAATTCACCAAATATGGGGTTGGAGCAGCAAACGTACAGTACTGGAGGTGGAGGGGACAAACCAGCAAGGGCATGCCTGCTGCCCTGAGGGGCAGAGTTCCTGGTCTGGACCCCAGGAGACTTCCCAGCCTGCCACTTTCTCTATCAGCACCAAGAAAGGAGGCATCTGGCTTGGTGCCTGTTGTGGGGGCATCTGTCTGCAGAGACCTAAGTAGACCCCTCTGAGTCTTCTCCGAGAACTCCCGCAGACTGTCTGGGTRTGGAGCACAGGCAGGGCTTGCTGCTCAGGCTGAAGTCGCTGAGATGAATGGGCAGCTGGGCTCAGTGCTGGGCCCTGCTGCAGGTCTGCGGGAATTCCATCTCCCTGGGGTAGGCCTCGGTGCCCACACCCTCCAGATGGGTTTGGTTACATCTAGGTTTCCTGCCCATAAACTGAACTGAGGTTTCATAGTTTTAGAAAGATTCAGACATACATCAAAAGGATCACAGCCCAAACATCAGGAGACTGGGGGCAGGGGGAATGGGGTAGAGGGCTGCTGGGAGGCATTTTTAGGACAGGTCTCTCTGAGCAGCTGGCTGGAAACAATGGAAATGAAAACAAGGAACAGTCCCTGGATGTCCTCACTCTGCTCTGGAGACTGGGCCCAGGAGGTCAAGAGCCCCCACGCCTCTTCCCTGAATCCCTTTCTTCCGGGTGGATGATACCCAATAGTAACAGGGGTTGCCCTCTGGTGGGGACCCCCTACCATCTTGCCAGGGAAGCAGGAGAGGGAGARGGCTAAAACATCAAACCCCAAAGCCCACCTGTCAGTTCCACAGTTCCGATTCCTCCCAGCAGTCCCCCTCCAACTTTCTGCAGACTGGACCATGGGGTCTTTCTCCACCATGCCAATAAGCCCTGGCAACCCTCTTGGTAATATTGCACTTTTCCTGTCTCTCAGATTGTTTTCATTTCAATTGAGAATGCAAAGTATTTGAAAGGGGTAGGGGAAGTGAGTAACCTTAAAGAAATAATATATTAGTTAAATACAAAAACAGGAAAAGTAGGGGCTATTTCATTTTTTCCCCTTAAAAACAAAACTACCAAACCAAAATCTAAACTTAAATAGTTCTACGCCTACTCTGCAAGTACTAGTAATATGAAAATAACGTTGGATCGAAATTCCCTTGTCTTTTTTCCTTAAGATGATGAAAGTAGTAACATGCCTTACTGAGGAAAGCGATGGATACAAATGCCAGTAAAATATGCTGCTCTAACATCTGAAAGTGATTACAACGATTCTATATAATGCCTTCGTCAAGATGGAGAAGAGAGGAAGAGAGAAATCTTTGGAGCCAGGCGGGGATTGGACAGGCTGAAGCCTGGCAAACAAAGCCCGCTGGGTGGAGAGGAACCCCAAGGCAGACCGCACACCTGCTGCTCAGGGGTGCCCCTTTCCAGCTTCCTCTTGAGCACAGAGGAGCCAGGCAACATGCCAGGCCTGCCGAGACAAAGAAGGACAAGGTGGGAGAGAGATGAAGACGTATTTTTTTTCCCTTGTAATAAAAGAAAAAGGTCTTTAAACTGAATAGAAAAACAAAGCACCAAAGGATGCAACTTCGGGCATTATATAAACCTCAATAATGACCGCAGAAGGGCTCATTATGGTTAAAGTTGCAGTATACAGCAATACAATGTCATTTCACATTTTCAATTGCAACTAATGGAAAACTAGGTTTGGACACTGCTGAGATTTCATTTTTCTTTCCTTTTAGTCCGATCTGGTTTTCCTCCTGGTGGGTCAGAACCCCAGGCCCCCTCCCTCCTCCGCTGCTGCTGGCAGTTTCCTCCAATGTCACAAAGCAGCTCAGTAGCTCTAGGGAAAGGCCCTCTTGCCCAGGGTAGGGCTAGGAGTCCAGGGGCACAAGGCTTGGCACCCCCTGGCCATATCTGAGAAGGACTGGCATGCACCCTTCTTACTTCAAGTATTAATATCCTTTGGGTTGCAGGGCTTCTGCTGTGCTGGGAGGCAGGGGCTGAAGGGGAGGGGTCAGGAGTGGGGTCTAGACGAGGGCGTGGCGATCCCTGTTCACTGCCCAAATCTACGTGATGTCACCAGGTGGCAGCATTTCCCACTTTTCCTGGATGCCTGAGCAACTCCCAGCCATCCTTGGGGCTGGATGTCACAATGTAAACATGACGACCACAGAATAAGCTATAATGGGGGCGGGAAGGACACAGGATTAATGCAGTGGGGCGTCTGCCATTAACTAGCTGTGTGATTTTGAGAAAGTCACTTCCTGTCCTTGGGCTGCAGTAACAGGAAGGGGTGGGATGGAGCGACCTCCAGGGTCCCTTCCAGCCCTGCTTTTTAATGACTCTCTGGCTTCAGGGCACTGGCAATCAAGGAGAGGGGGTCCTTGAGGGGCTGGGGGACTGGTGGGTGGTAGAGAGCCTGACGGGGCAGATGCACACGTGGGGCAGGGGAGGCAGGCTCTGGGGAGCACTGTGGTTGGTCCAGTCCAACTGAGATGCTCTGTACTTGGCAGCCACCATGTGCTGTGCTCCCTCCGGGCCTGGCCGGTGGTGTGCTAGTGATTCAACTGGCTCAGAGCGGACATCTGTGGAGCGAGGCCACGGGCCCTCCCCAGGAAGGCAGCTATGTGGAAGGTCCTTTAACCCGACAGACACTCTACTTTTAAATTTTATTTTAAATAATCATAAATTACTTTTTTTTCTTTTAATAAATATGTGCTGTTTAAAAATGAGAAAAGTATATACTGCATCTTTAAGTAATGCACTTTGCTCTCTGGGTTTCTTTCCATTCCACCTTAAAGTGCATTAATTAAAAAATAATGAACCACTTCTTTATCATTATTGTTCAAATAAGTAAAAATAATATTAATATGAAGACACTAATCCACTACCATTAGTACTGCAATCTAGCAGATTAACTCAACATCCTGCTCGATTTAATACTGTCCAGCAGAAGAAAATATCTAATTTTGATTTTAAACAAACTCACGAACAAAACAAAAGGAAACAAAACAGTCTCACCGCGGCCCTCTGACAAAGAACGCGAGCAGTTGGCTACAGCTGCCAGGATCAGTGTGTGGCGAGGGGCGAGGGCTCGGGGATCCCAGGCAAGGCCTCGGGGATCCTGGAGGTGGGGGGAGAGGGTGAAGGCCTGCTCGGGGGAGCAGGTGAGGGCAGGGCTTCCCTCCTCTGTAGGAAACCACAGCCCTTAGTCTGGTGATTCTGGCAGCTCATTCAGTGGCTGTGAAGCCTGGTCTGTCTGAAATCAAAGGCACGTGCGGAAATCCACTCCCAACAAAGGGTGAGTCCTTGGAGAAGCTGGCTGGGCTTCTTTCTGGAGAGTCCCTCTGAGATATCAACAACGGAAAAACAACCCAAAGTTGACAGAAGACTGCAGCAAATGTCACTCTCTTGCTTCTCTCTTCACTGGGGCACTGCCCCCGGGAAGACCAGACTGGCTCCAGGCACAGGGTCCTCCTTCTTCGCGAGCAACTGTGGCATTGCCAGTAGGCCAGAGGAGTGGCTGGTGGTGTCTGCTCCAGTCTGACCCAGGAGGCCCAGCTGGGGTCCCCTCCACCCAGGGTGGGGGCCACGGCTGCTTCTCCGCAGTCTCTGTAAGGCTTTCGGCCCTGCCCCAGTGGGAGAACATACACAGAATGGCAGCCACCCAGCAGCCTGGGCGCTGCCTTCTCTCCAAAGGTCTGGCTCCTAACAACACCTTCCTCCCTCCCGGGGAGGGTTTTTGCCCCACCGAGGTTGGGCAGGAACCAGAAGGACAGTTTCTCTGTTTTGCCAAGACTGGGACCTGGGCTTACCCAGCCCCAAATCCCTCCGGCAAGTGCCGCGCAGGCAAAGTCCACACAGTGGAAACCAAACGAAACGACGTGGCTTATGGAGGGGAGAATGGGAAGCCAAATACGAAACAAAACACCCCTCCACAGAGTACAACAGAAAAGCCCACCCTCCACCCCTTCTGTTCCCATTTGAGGCTGACCCCCCAGGGTGCCCAAACAACCCCTAAAATAAGACCCAAACCAAAGGCCTGACATATAAACCCCAAGTCAACAAACCTCTCCCGAAACATGCAAAGGAACTGCTCACCCAAAAATACCCAAGTAGTCTGTGCTGATGACGGAGAGCCTGATGGCTTCCCCTACCCTCTCTAAACTCCAGCACTGTGTCCTCCATGGGGTACCCCAAGGAGGGCGGACTCTCTTCTCAAGGCCAGGGCAATGACAGCTAAGAAGGTAGTTCTTGTGGCACATGGGAACTGTGTTTTCTTTAACTCCCAGACACTGATAGTGGCCTGGCCCCGAGAGAGACGTGAGCTCAGGAGACAACTCCAAGTCCCAGGGCCTGTGGGGTCTTCATATGCACCCAGCCATGGTGGGTGGTGGCAATCCCTGGGAAACAGCACAATCCACAAACACGGATAAGGACAACACAAAGGCTACCTCTGGTGGCAACATGGTAGCCACCAAAACAGCCCAACGGGCAGGATGCTGGAGGCCCCCCTATGACCACATCTTTTCCAGATTTGCAGCAAAGGCACAATTGGGGTTTCCCACATGGCCTGTCCCAAATGACATGTAGTCCATCAATGAAGTCACCAAAGTGCACACGTAGGTCCCAGCTTTTTCATCTCTGGGTTCCAGGTCATTCCCTCCCCTATTCAATGTATCCTCCCTTCCAGGCAACAGCTGGGAGGCGGGCCATCTTTCAGGTCCCACATCTGCAGGGCTTAATGTCGTTCTTCCCCCACCCCTCCCATTTTGTCCTTCCCCTTTGGTCTGCATGTCACTRCTCATCCAGTGGCGGGTACAGTGGCACAGAGGCTGGAGTGACTGCACAAYCTCGGTTAGTTCTTTTTCTCCAGGTAGTTGGAGGGCACCCAGCCTTTGAAGGGCTTCACGTCATCCAGGATCTGGCAGTACCACCAGCCATTGGGGTTCCTCTCCAGTACCTCCATGGACACCCCCTCCTGGAAGCCTGCGGTCTCCTCGTCCCCCTCATAGTCTGCAATAGAGATGTACACATCTTTGAGGTTATTGTGGATGAACTGGGACCTCTCGATGGGCTTGGGGCGCACAGGGGACACAGGGATGCCATTGCGCTGTGTGGGCAGCAGGGGTGAGTCGGAGCCCTGGCTGGCAGCCCGCTCCACCAGGCGACCCTTGGCCTCCGCGGCCGCTGGGCGTGCTGTGCTGAAGGAGGAGTTCCTGCGGACGCCTCTCAGGCTGTCGGTGGCTGTGAGTGACTCGTTCCTCCGCAGGGCGCAGGATAGGTTGTTGTCTTTGGGTGGTGGGGACACAAACACCGACTGGGGCCTGACTGCTACCTGTCGCACACCGTTTCTCATCTTCACCGCCACAGCACCTGATGTCTTGCCAAAGCCTCCAGGGGGCTTAGAGGGGATAGGCGGTGTGGCCCTCTTGCTCTGGTTGACGGTGTTGAGCGCCTGCACCCGCCTCTCGATCTTCTCCAGGCTGTCTGACTTGCCCTCATTCTGCTTGCTCTTTAGCACATCCTGCTCTTTGCCAGGGGTGTTGGGCTGCTCGTTCTCATCRGGCACCAGGTAGTGGGAAGGGGCCCAGCCCTCCAGCTCCCCAAACCTCACATACCACCAGCCACTCTCCTGCTTCTCCAGCACCTGCACCTCCACGCCGGCAGGGAAACTGATCTCCGAGTCCTGGACCTTCTGGTAGGCGCTACATGTCACGTAGGAGGTGGCTGGCCCTTCCCACTCCTTCTTGGGGGTACACGGGAGAGCAGTGGCCGGGAGGGTGATGATGTCGGCTGAGCCTCTCCTGGCCCCCTCACTGGGCCCCTCGGAGGCTGTGTGTGGGGGCAGCTCTGAATCCTCACTCCTTGAGCCCTTGAGGCCCCCCCGGAGCTGGCCTGTGGGTCTCAGTTGGCGTCGTAAAGTGCTGATGTCCATCTTCTCTTGACTCTGTGACTCTGCCCGGTTCAGGAAGGGCTTAGGCCGGACAGATGGCTTGGCCCGGGCACAGGAGGTCAGCCCAGCCCTCGTATCAGTGTCCTTCTTGGCCCCGACCTTGGGAGTGCCACGGATGCCTGCGTCCGAGGCAGAGCGGGGCTTCAGGTCACCACTGTTCTTTGACAGGGAGGAGGAAGAGGAGGAAGAGGAGGAGCAGGTGGTGTTGATGGTGATGGACGAGGAAAAAGAGGCCGAGGAGTGGTTCTTCCCCAGTTCTGCCTGGGCGTTCTTCTCTGCCTTGAGCTTTAGGAGCGACGATGACTTTGGGGAGCCCGACTTGGGCGAGTTTTTCCTGGCAAGGGACAGTGAGGAGCCACCTGGGGAGTCACTGTCCCCAGAGGAGCCTCTGGTCGACAGGGTGTCCTCTGCATATGGCCGGAAGCCCTCATTCTCATAGATGGTCTCCTCTTCCAGGGCCACATCTTCTGAAGACTCGCCCACCTTGAAGCGGGCCCGCTGCAGGGAGGAGGCAGGTGAGGGTCTACGGGGCTGGGCAGGCTTCCGGTCTCCGGAGCCTCTGTCCTCTGTGGGCTCCTCATTCAGCTCCGGCTCGGAGTCAAAGCCAAAGGCGGGGATGTCATACTCGGGCTCCTCGTACTTGAGCTTCAGTGGGGAATCCTGGCTCTCGTTGGTACCCACGGGACCCTCCTCGGTCTCCTTGGGCTTGCTGGGGGGTGCTGGCGGCGGGACCTTGGGCCGTGTCAATGTGCTCGTGCGGCGGCTCAGGTTGGGCTTCTTGCGCTTATCGATGTAGGACGCGGGGGCCCAGCCCTCCTTCTCACCGATCTGCACGTACCACCAGCCGCCTGAGTTCTTGTCGATGACCTGGGAGGAAGAGGTGGCAGGCCAGTGAGCTGAGAGGGTCTCTGGAACCTTGTGGTGTCCCGGGTGAGGGGCCTCACACTGGGCTCCATCACCTCCRCTTTGCAGATGGGAAACTGAGCCCTTGAGAAAGTGGCCCAAGACCCACTGCAGTAAATGACAGATCAGAATTTAAACCCTGCCTCTAACATCTCCTGGTTGAGGGGTTTCTACTGTCCCCTAACCTTCCAAGTCTGTATTGAGCTGGCCTCCTCTAAGAGACCTCCTCCACTTCCCCTAAGCTATCACGCTGTTCCCAGTCCCTACAAAGCCCTACTTGCCAAGGAACCAGATGTACAAAGAATCACCACCATTCCACTACCCAGTCCTCCTCCCACCCCCAATATTCCTAGGTCCTCCCTGGGAGGCCCTTGAAAGGGTGTCTCAGGGAAGTCACAGATAGATTGAGATGGGACATACAGGCCTCAGCCAGAGCCTCTTGGCAAAACATCTCCCAGTGTCCCCTGACTACTGTCATCTCACTGTAGAATCCTACTGAGATTCCATGACCTGAGACTTCTTTGGGTTGAATGCCTTCCTGTAGAAAGGGTGAGGGGCTTTTCTTCAATCATTTCCATGTTATTATAAACTAGTTCAAGGAGCTTCCTCCTTGACTTCTAAGATGGGCTAATGACCAGAATGAGCTGCTGGTTGTGCTGGGGTTCATTTGAACTGGGGAATGTAAAGGGAAGATAAGTTGGGATTGTGGGACACTTGTGGAGGGAAAGGTCCCAAGGAAGACTTCTGGGGCTGGGGAGCATGAAAACACTGGCACCATGGAGTGGGGGGAAGGAAAGAAGAGAGGGAGAGTGGAGAACGACAAATTGAGCTCTTTGGAGACCATGCCTCTGCAGCCCCACCAAACCTACATTCTAAGTTTGTAGGCTTTTCTGGAAACCCTAGAACTAGAGAGAATGATTTCTCTTGAAAATAGTTCCAAGTTCCAGACACGGGGTTGAAAACATTCATGCTGGGGTGTCTGCTCTGCAGCCGGCAGAGGAAGCCCAGTGAATCTGACAGCTTCACACATGTCTCTCGGATTTAACTGCATGGCCATACAAAGCTACTCCAGAGAAACGAACCAGTCACAATCTTCTCTGTCCCCTGGAACACCATGCTCAGCAATAAAACATGAAGTACAGTCGTTTTCCCTTAGCCAAGGTTTTGTGTTCCAAGGATGCCATTACCTGTGGTCCATTAACTGGAAAATTCCAGAAATATACAATTCATAAGTTTTAAGTAACTTTTATTATGGTATATTGTTGTAATTGTCGTATTTTATTAGTTGGTATTGTTGATCTCTTACTCTGCCTAATTTATATGTTCAGCTTTATCACGACTGTGACTATACAGGAAAAAACGGTATATGTTTGGTTTGATACTGTCCATGGTTGCAGCCATCCACTGGAGTCTTGTAAGGTTTCCCAAGTGTGTGTGTGGTGTGTGTGTGTGTGTGTAGAATTGTTTAATGCTAGGAGGCCAGTTGTGGTGGTGGTGGGGTACATATCAGGGTCTCGTACCCCTTTTAGAGACAATTACTCAAAACCTGGGGGGAAAGAAGTGACTGCATCAAAGGCCAGAGGTCCTGTGGTGCAGATGTGACCACACTGGGGCTTCAGTATGTTGTTACTGTACCGGCCTGGACCACAGTCTCCCAACAACAGCACTTCGCGATGTGGGTTCTGTGGGGTGCAGGCCCCTGCAGTGCTCCTGGGAGGGAAAGGCTGTAGGGACAAACAGCAGGCCCAGCAATACCACTATGATAGACTGGGTGCCACCCTATCCTAGGCTCTGAGAAGCCCTGCCATCATAAAAACAAAATGAGTTGGATCTTATTTAATCCCTGTCCTCGGAGCTTGTGTGCTCATAGCAGCCTTTTGTTTTGAGGCATCCATTCTCAGCTCCCACCCACGCTCTGGCACCATGAGTGCGCACAGGTGGAGGCACACATCCGTGTTTCTAGTCCCTACTGTGGCCCTGACCAGCTTTAGGCAAGTGCTCTTCACTGTGGGGCATGTTTCTGTACCATCCCTTCTTGTCCCAGGAACCTTGCTAGCAAGACATAAAATGGGAAATGCAGGCCTTGTCCACAATGAGTGAAACCCTGGCCAAGGCTCACCTCTGCCTTCTGTCCACCACGGAAGCTGATCCCGTCAGAGATGCACGATTGGAACTCGGCAATGGTGTAGTACTCCACCTCGACAGAAGGGGGCTCTGGTGGCTTCGGCAGCTGGAACCCCTGAAGTGCAAAGAGAACACTGAGCAAAATCCCGCTAACCAGGGAGGCGACAAGGCCAAGGACCGGTGCCCGTTCCAGCTGGGGGATGTGCGTGTGGCTGTTTGGACCAGCTGGACAGCAGCTGGCCCCGCAGGCATCTGTCCTCGCTTGCAGGGCTGATCCCCAAGAGGCTGCGCTCCTGAGGAGATTCCAGCGGTACCTAGGGTTCACTTGAGACTGGTCTGAGCTGGCAGATGCTTACTCTTAATATTAGAGTTTCTATGCTTCCATCTCTGGAGGGCCAGTTTTCAGATGCCTCAAYAGTTGGATCCCAAAATGAAAACGATAAAGCAGAGAAATTCTCTGACAAAATGCATGCACTGCCCCCCGGAGAGGAGCGACTCCCTCCTGAGCTGAAAGGTAAGGGGCTGCAGGTGGGGTGCCTGGCAGTCAGGCGGGGCCTGGGAGCTCACCATCTCTAGGAGGCTGAGGTGGGAGTGCAAGGGGCAGTGGAGTTGGGGAGAAGTCTTCAGCTGTTCATCCTGATAGTGCCAAAAGGTTAGGGAAGCCCCGATGAGAACTCAGGACACTGTCTCCAAGGCAGACAGAACACACTGAGGTCCCAAGTGCCTTTTAGACCCCTGTACAGCAACATCTAAACTCCACAGTCAAGGACACTTTTTGGTTTTTTTTTTTTTTTGCCCCAGCTCATGGTTCCAGGCTAACGTGGGCCTCATTTGTTCATGCTACTACCATTTGCTAGTGGCTCCCAGGTGCCAGAAGCTGATCTGAGATGCCGGGCATCCAACAGTAACCCCAATGGACAACATGCCCTTGTGGATCCTAGCTTCAGTTAGCCTCTACTGATTAGAATGGGCTTTGGGTGTGTGTGACCTACTTCATACAGAAGGGGTTAAAGCAAACCAACTGGAGGGGGGAGGAGGGAAGAGATGAGGAGGGGGAAGCAGCTGTGCTGTGGCAGGAGGCAACTGTTTTCAGTCTCAGGGTAGATCCCCACCACCGCCTCCCTCACTCCCTCACTCCCTCCCCCTTTTTCTGTGATTGGAAGACCTAGAAGACTGCTGGGCTCCAGTCCCAGTATTTTACCAGCTGTGTGTGAGGCCCTTGATGTCAACTCTCTGAGCCTCAGTTTCCTCATCTACAAAATGGAACTAATAACAGGGTCATTAAGAGACTTACTGAGATATGTAGATAACTTTCAGTCCAGCAAGGGACATAGGAAGAGCTCAAAGACCAAAGGTCAACACCCCTGAAACCCTCATGTCCTAATCCCAATCCTGTCAATCAAAACAGATCTGTTAGCTGAGTGCGGTGGAGCAAGCCTGTAATCCCAGCAGCTCGTGAGGCTAAAGCAGGAGGATTGTGAGTTCAAAGCCAGGCTCAGCAAAAGTGAGGCATTAAGCAACTCCTTGAGACCCTGTCTCTAAATAAAATACAAAATAGGGCTGGGGATGTGGCTCAGTGGCTGAGTGCTTCTGAATTCAGTACCAAAATCAAAACCAAACCAAAAAACAAAACAAAACAGAGCTGTCTTGGAGCACAGTGAATGAGGGTGGGAGGGAGCTGGTTTTCAGGGACTGGGTGTGAATCAGTCAACCCTCCTTGCCCAGTGCCTGGCTCTGTGATCCTGTGCTTCCTGGCCAGGTTAGATTCAGAACCTACCTGGACGGTGGCCCTGTCTCAGCAACCCGGAATTTGGTGTGTGGAAGGAATTAGCCCATTCTCACACAAATTAAGTCTGCCTGAAAATAATTAGCTTGCGTTAAAAGAGATGGGAGGGAAGCAGAATCCATTGTTCAGTTGTAAGCCCATGGGGAAAAGAAAGCCAATAGCTAGGGCAAGGAAGGAACAAAATCTTCCAAGCCCTATATGTACAGAGGTCTCCTCTTCCATGGACTGATGCTATCCCCTCTCTAAGGGCAGATGTCACTGATCACAGTGATTTGCTGCTAAGCCCAGGTGTGACCTTAGCATCTTTTCCCGTAAACCAGAAGATTCTACCCCGTAGTCAAGTTGATATGGGAAATAGAAATTGCCTGCCAGCCCTATGCATCGCTTCTTATCCTTAGGATAGCCCTAAGAGATAGCTAGGRCTGTACCTATCTTATAAGGAAATTGAAGCCTGAGGAGGATAAGTGACTTGCCTAGGGTCTCTGCATCAACATGTTGGAAGTAGAACGCACAGCCATGCCTGGCAGATTGAAGCTCCAATCTGTCCACAGCCCTGATGACAGTTCTTTGTTCCAGGACTCTCAGCTTGCCACCACCATTTGGGTCCCCCAAGACCTAGACCGACTGCACATCTACCTGCTTGAGATGCTGGTMACCAGGAAACCCTACCCATAAGAGCCAGGAACCTAGCAGTGGGGACACTCTATAAACTTTGGTGTGAGCCTGTCCTTGCAACTCCCCACTCACAGATCTGCCCTCTGCCCTCCCAGACTCTGTCATCCACCACATCCACCAGGCATTCCTGAGCAAGGCAAAGCTGAAAGTCTTCCAGGCAACATGGACAGCAGCCCCATTTCCAGCTCCTGGCAATGCCCTGGTTGGACATTGCTGCCGGCCAGTCTAAATGTTTATGTCTGCCAGTGCAGTGGCTGGGATGGATTTATTTAGCCGTGGAGCGCAGTGCATTTCCGATTATAAACAGTCCAGCCAGGCCCCCAGAAAGGCCGGGATCTACAGGCTTCCCTCCGTGCCTCCAGCCCCCCAAAGCTGGAAGCCCCAGAAGAGCCCTGGAAAACCTTTAGGCAGTAGGCTCTGCAGCAAGACAGCCTCTTAATCAGAGCTGCTAGAGAGCAGCCCCAGAAAAGGAACAAAAAGGGAGTAGAAATTCAGCACACATACCAAGCTGGATTCTCGGCGTGGTGGAGGTCTTGTCCTTAGGTTTGGGGAGCCTAGAAGAAGAGACATGGCTTTAGTAATTCCATTCAGGCAATGAGCAACAGCATGTCTATTTTTTGCTCACTCTAAATCCTTAGAGGCTAGCACAGAGCTAGGCAAGAAGGGACACCTAATGACAACTTCCCAGCTGATATCTAAAAGGTTTCATGCACAAGGGCCAACAGAACCAAAGTCAGAGCTCAAGTGAAAAAACAGCTTTCCTCCAGCAGCTGGGATTATAGGTGTGCACCACCATGCCCAGCTAAAGGAGATCCTTGGCATAAACTCTGTTGAAACCACTTTGTGGAGAGTGCTAAAGTCTCAGCTCATTCTTTCAGGTTTCTAGAAACTGGTGGAAGAGCTGTAATCCTGGAGACTCAGGAGGCTGGGGTAGGAGGACTGCAAGTTGCAATCCAGCAAGGTCCTGTCTCAAAATAAATAATAAAAAGGGCTAGGGATGTAGCTCAGTGGTTGCACACCCCTGGTTCCAACCCAGTACTTCCTGGTTAAGTCCCAGGAAGATGTCCTACCATCTCTCACTCCAAACAGAAGCCCTGCAGGTGCTTGACAAAGCAGGGAACTGAGGGCTTTATTTTTAAATCATCTACACATCAACTACTAGATTCCTAAAATCTTTATTATAGTGTGAAGAAACCACTTCTTTCTCTTGGACTACACTCCTCTGAAGAGTGGCTGTTTCTGGTCTCTAGGGTTGGGGCAATGCTAACAGCCTGCACTCATGTGAATCACTTTCAGAGAGACGGCTGGAAGAGGCACAGCCACACACTCCTCTGCCTTCTCCACTGGTGATGAGAATGACCTGAGCTGACAGCCTAAGGGCCCAGGATCCCTCAGTCTGTAGCTTAGGTCCCACTCTCTCTTCTGGCCTTCCTTGTACTCTCTGCCCCCACTATAAAGAGCTCTGTGGCCAGGACCTGAAGGTCAGTGATGTGCTTACTGATCTGGGCCCTCTGAGGGGCAATCCTGGCCACAGCTGGAGAGCCCTGGGCCAGTTTGGAGACGGTCCTCTCAGGGACACCGAGGGCACTGCCATTGGAAGCATTGCACAGGATGGGCAAGCTTATCTCCTTCTTGGCAATGGGGGCCTCAGAGCCTTCGCCTTCAGTTGGTGGAGTCTCCTTGTCCCCAGACGTCTTCTTGTTTAACAGGTTGCTGATCTCCATGATGTTCCCAATGATCTCCACCGGGCCCGCCAGATTCTTTTTCCGGGTTGGCAGGTCATCCTTGGCCTTCTTTAGGTAGGATGCCGGTGCCCAGCCCTCTTTGCCCAGGTATCTGTGGAGAGGAGTGGGCCACACCATCATTACATCTCTTTCAGGCTCAGGCCCTAGTATCCACCTGGCCTTGCCCAGCTGAGACTTTTCTACCATGCGTTGCTAGAGACTTGGTAATCCCACTGCTCCAAGAGAACCAGAGCTGAGACTTGCTGGGAAAGATGCTCAGAGAACAGCTTCTTTCCTCTAACTCCCTTTGCTTTACCTGGTCCCTCTTGGCATGGGCTCTCATTCCCTGCAAAGTGTCAGGTAAAATAAACATGGGACCTTGAGATTAGAGTTCTCCAGTGGTGGGAGCCCAAAGGTGGACTTCACAATAGCTATTCACAATTGAGAATGTTATTCCACAATCATTTGAGGGTAATCCTAGAGATAAGAAATGCAAGATAAGGGATGAGAAAGTGGTGTATGGAGTTAAACACCCCCAGGAAAGAAAAGGATTATTAAAGAGGAAAGAGGTATCACAGGGTAAGAGTTCTGGTCTATGGGACCTTGGAAAAGTCTGTTTTCTGGAGCTCAATTTTACTTTTCTGCAAGATGTAGGATCAGAGTAGCTGTTAAAGTGTATCTATAAGGATAGACATACTGAAGAGGTGTGTAAAGAAGACTGACTGACTGGGGAGGGTGTGGGTACTACGCAGGGATAGCACATGGGTGAAGTTCACAGAGTAAGTCCGTGAACAGGCTAACGGCAACATTTCAAATCAGTGGGGTAGGATGGATTATTCAATAAGTGATTTGAGGACAATGCATTATTCAATTAGGAAAAATAAGTAAGAAAGAATCTGGCCATACAGGGGGCAAAAATAAAAAATATTTACATAATTTGGAGGTTTGAGAAAGACTTTCTAAATGGGGCTCCAAAAGTAGAAACCATAAATGACAAGAATAAAGCACATGACTGGTAAAATTAAAACCATTGGTATGGCAAAACAAAAACAAAGCCAAACAAACCCAAAAGCTCATAAACAAAAGCAAAAGACAAATGACAAGGCTGACTTCATTCTGGTGATTTGATGACTTCTTAAAAACAAGCTTTTTCCCTTTTCCCCGTGGTGTTGAGTCTTCACCCAAATCCACTGGGGACTCACTTCCTGGACTGGCAATTGCTGGCCAGTGCCCCCAAGCCTGAGTTGCAATGTCCCTGTCTGCTCCCTGGGACACATCTGGCTCTTTGGAATAGTTCTTCCAGGCCAGATGTCTAACAGCCCTCCTCTCACCCTCTTTTCTTAGGAACTCATTAGGTGGGAGAAGGAACATGGAGATTTGCTGGAGAACACAGGAAGGCGGAGGCTCCTTCCTTCCATAACAGTAATGTGCACAGGTTGTCCCAAGCTCGTCTGTCTGGGCTTGGAAAGCAGACATCAATGAATGAAGGATGGAAGYTGGGGCTGTGATGGCTCTCAGGTGTAATGGTGACTTTCAAAGGTGGAGAGAAGCAACTAGTGAAAGTGCCTAAGCTTCCTATTAGCCAAAGGCCAAGGCAAAGAAAAGCAAAGCAAGGCCTGCTTACAGCCCCAAGTGCCCCCATTTCAGAGTTTGTATGTTATTTAGATAAATCCAGGTTCCAGGCAGGGAAATGCAAGGGCACCAGGAGTGGCTGGGTCTGAGCCCCTTTCTCTCACAGCCATTTCCCGGCTCTGAGCAGGGCAGGCAGCAGAGGGGTGTGTGTGTGTGTGTGTGTGTGTGTGTGTGTGTGTGTGTGTGTGTGTAGGTGGGGGAGGAGAAAAAAAGACAGGAAATGAGGATCAACACAGAGCCTGGAATGCTGGGAAATGGCATACTTAAGGGGGTGTCTGGCAGCTTTCTTAAGGTGGAACTGTTATGGCACGGTGTTCTCAGCTGGAACTCCCACTGGCTAATGGGGACAAGGACTAGGCCATGGGAACAAGAGTTGATTAGAAGTAGCTCAGAGTAACTTTGCTGGTCATTTTAGAAAACCAAAAAATGAAGCAAAACAAAGCAAAATAGAAAGCAGCCTTGTAGGTCACTTCCAGGCAAGTGAATGAGGCCACCAGCCTGCTAAGACATCTGCTGGCCTTTCTACTTCAGGCTCCTGGCTGCTAAGTCTTTGGCTTGGCTTTAGTTTCTGCTCCTAAACATAAAAGCCAGGGGCAATGACCATGGGCAACACACACCCAGGTACTGTTCATCCCACCAAGCAGGACAAAAAGGGACATTTCGTTACTCCTGACTGATATACAACAGGGCAAGGACCATGAGGGGAGAGAACCTCCTACCAAGTCACACTAAGGTTTGGATTCTGTGTAGCCAGTGGCCTTCATCCTGTCCTTCAGCTCAGCATAGACTAACTTTTAACACCACCATGTCCTGCCATGTTCTGAGCAATTGTCCTGTGAGTGCTCACATTGCCCTGGTCACAGGGGTGCCATAGCACAACCCTAGCCTCTCTGGGAGAGACGACTCGGTACACATCCTGCTGGTGCAGGGTCTGGGGTTGCTGGGTGTGCTGGGTTGAAGCGGCAATTCCCAGAGCCCACAGATAGGGGGCAGTCTCCCCCAGCCAGGTGGCAGCAGAGGAAAAGCTGGGTCAAGTCCCCATGGCTGAACTTCTCCAAAGGAATCAACAGTGTCTCCTGAGAGCAAGTGCCTTGGAGGGCAGAGGGGGCTAAAGGGCAGGTCTTGGTCTGGTAATGCTGAGTGAAGCCACAGGGTTCTGTTTACTTCCAGTGGGTCAGGAGACTGCCTTCCCCCCACTCCCTGACCCATACCCCAAATGGATTTCTCAACTGAGAAGTGGGATTAGGTTCTGGGAGAGGGAGGGGGCAGGGGAAGGAGGAACCTCTGATAGCCCAAACTGGGCTTGGGCTCAGACCTTTCTTCCACTCTAGTCTCATGACAGTCCTGCAAAGTGGAACAGCCCTCACAGGCCAGGGACATGGACGTCACAGGCTCACATCTGGAGCCCTGGGTGGTGAGCCATGGCAGCAGAGGCTTCTGATGGGACTTCAGTAGGGCCTGGGGACACCAGTGCTCCAAACTGCTCTAACTGTGGATCAGACCAGGCAGCCAAGGCTGGACGCAGAAAACCAAATTCAGATGTGCTGAACRCTTGGCAGATGAGCGGCAAGGAACTGCACCATGGCCTGTGGGCCCTGCACTGTGCTGGCTGTGCTCAGCCTTGCTTTCCTGCCCCCGGAGACACTCTGCAAGACCAGCGCTCCCTGGTTGAGCTTTCCAGATGTGCACAGTTGGTACGGGGCTGCTGTCAGTACGTATCCACCAGCAGATGGCCATAGCTACTTTGCACCCAGTTCTGTGGGCCCAGGACAGATGGGCCAGAAGCATCTGGGAGGGGCCAGATGGGCCAGAGGCATCTTGTGGCTCTGTCAAGGGTCCTACCTGATATACCACCAGCCCTCCAAATTCTTCCGGATCACCTCCACGGTGACACCCTTCTCAAAGCCAATCTCGTCCTTGCTTTGGCTGACATAAGGTTGAACGGTGACATACTTCTCTTCTGTGAGTGGGCAGTGGGAGTAAGAGAGCAAGATTATTTGAGGTTGAGGTGCAGGCCCTGCTTCTTGTCCCCTCCTGCCCAGGCCTGGCCTTGCTTAGCTGCTTGCCAAGGTGCTCTGGGTCAGCTCTGGCTTCTCCAGGGAAGGGAGGGACCAGGCCTCAGGAGTAGCAGTGGAAAGGTCACGGGGGCGGGGGTTACTGCYGCACCCAGTGTGTGCCAAAGCCAGCCACGTCCCAAGTTGTTCAGCAAGGCCAGCTCTCCCAGCCTAATCATGGCAAGCAGGATGCTGAGCCTGGAGTTAAGAGGGCCCCAGAAGCTCCCTGGGTTAAAGGCAGAGTTAGAAGGAAACTGTTTGTCAGAAAGTCTCCAGACCAATGCTGGATGTCCCCTGGTGCCTTCAGGACCCTCAGGATACTCCTTCCACAAATGTGCCAGTTTCCATCTGTGTCCYAAATGCCCTCTCCTGGCCCTGCTCCCACCTCAGTCCCTTAAATCCTTCCTCATTCTAAGCCTCAGACAGCTCCAGGGGCACCTCCTTGATGAAGCCTTCACTAAGCACCTAGCCCTCGACTGACAGCAGGTCATGTAATGTCCCCAGGAGAGTTCCATGGAATGCAAGTCCTATGGGAGTGGCTGTGTTTTGTTAAGATAAAGGTCCTGTGGCAGGTGTGGAGCTGCCAGGTGCCCCACATTCTCCACAGTTCCTGGGTTTGTGTGGCCCCGGCCGTCCGCAAGATCACTGCTCATTCACGTCTACGCTACTCTCATGGGTGTGACTTCAGGGTCTTGCTCAAGGTTTTCCCAAGGCAACAGAAAGGCACCTTGGAGAACCTCAGGAAGAGCTTGAGGGGACAGGTGTGGGGAGGCTGGGGTGCCAGGCATCCCCTTGGCCCCCTTCAGTCTCCCTCCTGCGGAGGCCCCATGCTCCCTCTACGGCCTTTGTTCAGGTTTCCAGGGAGGTGTTGCTCCAGGTCTGCTGGGTCCACTCCTCCTGTCCCTGGCAAGACCAGGTAGACTCATAGTTGGCTAGGGAGGACACCCAGCCTCCTAGGTGAGATTCTGCCTAGAGGACAGACAGCTCAAGGCTCACACTTCCCACCCAGCCTCACTGGGAGAACAAGGGACAGAGAGGAGAAAAAATGACGATCTGGCAATGCCCTTGGAAAGTTCTCGGGGGCCTGGGTGCTCCAGAGGTGGAACTGTGCTGGTGCAGCAGGAGCAGGGGGCTGTGGGCCGCTCCCTGAGGAGGAAGGCCAGGCTGGGCGGGGCAGTGGCTTGAGTGGGCAGTCTGCAGAGAGCTCGAAATAGCAGGAGCTGGCCTCTAAGAGCCTGCCCCTCCTGGCTCCCAGCTGTGACAACCACCCCCTGGACTCCTTGGCTGGACCCTCAGGCAGCCTGCCTGGGCCTCTAGCGGCTATGGGGGAGGGGGACAGCTGCCACCCCAGCTCCCTGCTGCAGGAGGGCCATCTGTTCATTCTCCCCTGGATTATCAGGGTTCCTGTCTGCAGCCCTGTGCTGGGCCAAGATAGTGACTCCCTTTGGGGTGGAGGCGGCTGTCCTGCCAGGCTGAAGGATGGAACCGATGGGCCACTGGCCTAATCTGAAAGCCTGCCAAAAAGCGAAGGGTGGGTGACAACCCACGGGAGGCTGTGCCACTCCTCAGCATGCTCTTCACAACTGTAGGTCTTCTTCACCCGACTCAGGGAGGGCCCTGCTCCAGGGGKCTTCAGATTCCACCCCAGACCCTCCCCCCATGAACTGCTGCCAAGCCCGCCTGAGAACCTGCCCAGACAGACTCTGACTCGGGCCTTGGAGCAGCTCCCCACTCTCTGGGCCAACCTTCGCTCTCCTGCCTGCTTCTGGTCCTGATCCATTTTCCAGTGGGGCACGGTAAACCCTGGCCCAGGCAGCGGCCTGAGGGGCAGCACCAGGCCAGGGAATCCAGGGTCTGAGGTCTGAGGGAGGTGAGGCCTGCGCTTCATATTTTGTCTTTGTTCGGCAGGGCTATTTTTAAAAGCCTGTGGTTTGAGCAGGAAGCCATCATTAAAGTTTTCCTAGGCAAGGTAACTTTTTGCAGAGAAAAATGACAGTTCTTGTGGGGAAGATCAGAGAAGCCTTGCCCTGCCCTACCACCAAGTACAGGGCCTTGACCATGTCGTGTGGGCTCGCCTTCCGGAGCAGCCAGGCCCCGCTGCTGCAACCTCTTAAAGTGCCTGTGGCAGACAACTGTCCGCAGGCCATGGAAGCTCCTGTCTTCTCTGACCTCCTGGGATAGGAAGGGGGACAGAACCAGATATCAGTTCTGCCGGCAAAACTGAGTGGGTCCTGCAAAAGGCCCTGTTCTTAGGGGTTCTGGGCTGTGACATGTCCCCCCGGAGTTTATGTGCTCCTTGTAAGACCACTGGCTACCAGTGAGGCTCACCCTGCCCTGGTCGCTGGGCAGGACACTGAGGGAGAATTCAGGTTCCTTGTCCCTGGAGGGGCCAGGCAGTCAGACCAACTCTTCCCACTTGTCTCCATGGGGAATGGCTTTCTGTCCTGGTTGGCTCAGATGGAAGAGGCATGGACTGCCTCCATGTGGATATGTGTCACACAGTCCTCCCAACTCACAGGTGACTTGAGGGACAAGTGGAGACAGATACTCTTATGGACCTGGCCACAAACCCCACCTTGGGGATGTCCAGACAACAGAATACACAGATGGACAGAATCGGCCTCAGTGGGTCCCGAGTGGTTCGGCAGGCCAGGAAGAGCTGGTCCCTAGGAAGCAGCTGAGGGGTGGGAGACTGTGAGCTCAGGGACCTCTCAGGGCTCTGGGAAGTGCCAGAACCTGGGCACTGGGATTGTGCCATGTAGGGACGGGGGCACTCCTGTCCTGGTAAGGGCTGGCCAGGCAGCTGGCAGGGTGAATGGGCAGGGGGAGGTGGACAGACTGTTCTGGTTTGGGAGGCAGGGGCTGGAAGTCCTGCAGTTTCCAAACCACAGAGGCCTCCTCTTTCCAAACACTTTCCCCTCTGTCAGCAGTCTCTCCAGCTCCCCTCCCGGCCCCCACAACTCCCTCACCCCTCTGTGAGAGAGAGGCCTTTGATTCCAACGGCCTGGCTGGCTGTGGGGACGGGGAGTGGAGCGGGCCCCCRGGGAAGCACTGCTTTCTCTTGTCTAGTTCTTCGATGTCCCCCTCTCCACCCTGCTCCCACCCACTCTGCTGTTTGCAGTGCTGTCCCCAGCCAGCTCTCTGCAGGCCTCTCTTGGCTGCCTGCTTTAACAGAGCAAGGCTGAAATCATGCTAGCTAGGTCTCTTGGCCTCTTATGGGGGGTTGGGTATTTGCTATGTATGGGTGATGCGGAAGTATTCATTTGGTTGTGTAATTGTGTCCACGTGCATCATCCTGTGAATAGCTGTGACTACACTGCCTGTGTACCCTTGGTATGGAGGTTATGTGTATGTGGACTTGTGGGTGTTGCTGAATGTGATGATGTGATTGACTGTTAGTTGTGTGTACAAAGCCTTGATGACTAAATAATGTACTTGTGGCATGGTCTATGTGTGGCTGCATAATTGGAATTATATTTGTGCCCTGTGATGGACTGTCGATGGGGAGCTGTGACGGGAAGGAAGGGTTAGATGTGAAAGGCACTGCAGCCATACTGTGGCCATGGGAGCCGTGCAGGGTGTGTACTGCACCAGCTGTGTGTYCGTGGAGTCAGTCATGTTTGGGGCTTAGTGTGTGGAGTGTGGGGCAGGCCAAACCTTCGTCCCTATGATTCCAGGTCCCCATTCCACTCTCTTTTGCCACCGTGGCTGGGGCTGCTTCCCTGCACTGCTGTTCCTCCCTCCAGGTTGAAGGTGGCCTTTGCTTTACATTTAGCCTGGTGCTGTTTTTACAACTCAGCCCCCTGTCCTACATTTGCCCCCAGGCTCCAGCCCATGTTCCTCCCTGGGGACAAGCTGGGTTCCTCATGACCAGTGTTCTGAGCCTGATGCTGAGCCAACCACAGGCTGTGGCCACCCAAGAGTCCAGACTTCCTGCTGCCTCAGGCTTGGGGCAGATACCAAAACATGCTCCCACTGTCTTCTGGAAACAAGCTTTGAGGGTGGGAGTATGAGCTGGGGCATCCCTGTGTTCCCCAAAGGCCAGTGGTCATTATATGCCCCTCTCAGGGGTGACAAGCTGCTCTCAGCTGTGTGCTCACCCTGAGGAGCACACTCTCTGCTCTCCGTGGGGCAGGAGAAACTGGCCCTCCACCAGTCGGAGGCTCTGCAGATGGTTAGGGGGTGTCCAAAGGCGTGTACCTTCTTCCCTCACCTCCCCAGCTCCTGGGGTTGGGAAAACTCYGACAGAGCAAATGTCTCCCCTCCTCATCAGCCCACGGCCAGGTGAGCAGCCTCCCTGGAATCCTCTTGCTTTAGCCCCTCCTAAAACCCCAGTCTGCTGCTGTTGGTGGGGTCTAACCCCGTACCCCACTGGTCGGGGCTGTGCCCTGGTTCCAGGCTGTGCCTGCCTTCCGCACCTTTCTAGTGGAGCTGGACGAAGGGGGAGGCTTGTGGGCTGGCCCTTCTTTGCACTCAGTTTCCAAGCAGCCACAAGGACGGCTTAGCCAATGGAGCCTTTCTCAGCAGGAGACAATGAAGGATGGAGAAGTGGGGTGCCTTATAGGGATTGAGATCCCCCTGGTCCCTCAAGACTTGTTCTTTCTTGGGGACCTATAACCGTGTCTGAAGTCCCAGGACCCCCATTCCCAGGTCACCAGCAAACCAGCACCACCCTTAGTGCCACCCCAATTCCCAAGCATGGCCCCTTCCCCACTCCCAGTTGCAGCAAGTGAGAGGAAAGTCTGTCCTGTACATATGGTAAGTCAGGAGGCCACAGGCAGAGGTCAGAGGGCAGAGGGTGGGAAGGAGCAGGCGTTAGTGAGAGACAGCAGCAGTGGGGGGAAGAGAGGCGTGTGCCCGCAGTCACCTCGGCTGTGCTGCCTGTTGACCATCCCGCCCAGGGTCCACCGGCGATCCAGGCGCCGCAGATGGGCCTTGCGTCTCTTGGACACTGGTGTGGGAGATGGTGATGGAGCATGCGGCCAACACGAACCAATGGAGAGAATGGAGATGAGGATGAGATGGGATGGGGGAGGGGAGGAGGAGGGGACAGAGGGAGGGAGGTCCAAGCATGCTTCCAGGTCATCATTACCTAGTCTGAGCCCAGGGTCAAACCTAGCTGGATGAGGGTAGATCTGACAGATGATATTGTTGGCATGTGGGGAAAAAATGCAACCAAACCCAAACCTCTCAGCTTATGCCCCAGAGCCATGGAGAGAACTACAGATTTTAGGATCCTGGCCAGGCATGGTGGTGCATGTCTGGAATCCCAGTGACTGGGAAGGCTGAGACAGGAGGACCTCAGCAACTTTAGCAAACTATGTCTTAAAAAAAAAAAATTAAAAAGCAGAAGAGCTGGGATGTAACTCAGTGGCAAAGTGCCCGTGGGTCCAAACTCAGTACCAAAAAGAGTCCCTTACACCAGTCCTTGAGAGGCAGCCCCTCAGATGCATCGATGGATCGCTGTTTCCTGGGAAGGCTGATTCAGAGGGCTTGTGTCCCAAAGCACCTGGGTTGACATCAACAAGTATGATTGTGAACTTGCCATCATGGGCCCCGCAGCATGTTGAGAGGGATGAGTGTGCCTAGGAGAGACCTGGGGTCCCTTCCTGGCAGGCTTCGCACTTTCCGGCTTATGTCGCTGCTTTCGCACTTGTCCCATTAGATGGTGTCTACTGAGGATGACAACTTTGCCTTTTTTTTTTTTTTGGTACTAGGGATTGAACCCAGGGGCATTCAACCACTGAGCTACAGCCCCAGCTCTTTTTATTTTTTTACTTTGAGACAGGGTCCCATCAAGTTGCGTAGGGCCTTGCCAAGCTGCTGAAGCTGGTTTGAACTTGTATCCTCCTGCCTCAGCCTTCAGAGCTGCTGGGATTACAGGAGTGTGCTAGAGCACCAGACAGGACTTTGCCTATTGTCTCTGCATTCCCAGAGCCTAGCACAGCGCCTCTGGCCTAGGAAAAGTTTGCTGAATGAAATGCACAGGGACAAATGCCGCAGCCCTGGCCCTGCTCCTTCATGTCATCCATTTGGGTCTTTGACAACAGAGACTGAGTTTCCCCAGTTTCTCACTGCTTGAGATCCCTCTGCCAGGGCTGCTCTCTGCGCAGACTGTGCACCGGTCCTCTAGTTATTATGGCTGGGTTTTGAGCCCCCATGCACCCCTGTGCTCAGGTCCAAGTTCTAGATGCCCCTACCTTCCTATGGTACTCCCAAGGGGAATGGACACTGAACCAGGACTCCTGGGTGCTAGCTGGCCCTACCTCCTGCACTGCAGAAGGAGGCTGTCAGGTTGCCTGGGGCCAGGGGAGGGAGGGAGGGAGGCCAGTGGTTAGAATGAAAGAAAAACTGCCCAAACCCCTGCAAGGCCTTCTGGGATGCATTTGCTCTCCCTGGGAGGAATCTGACCTGCCTTGTATAAGTAGAGGTCTGGGGAAAAGGCGAGGAGGTGTGGATTCCAATTCAGACTCCACCACCTGTGACACTCTGTGAGGCCTTCCATCCCTCTCTAAGCCTCTGTTTCCTCACCTGTCATAGGGTGATACCTCCTGGTCTGGCAGGGGCCAAGCAAGGTCTTAAGGAGCTCTGGGGACATTAATCAGGTCCTGTGTAAGGTTTTTCAGATGGGATGGCGTGAGGGAGTGGGGCCTCTCTGGGTGGCAGAGGGAGTGGGGCCTCTCTGGGTGGCAAAGGGGCTTAGCTGATGTCTGGACCTGGGGCCACTTTTATGGTAGCTGACATTTACTCCCGGCAAGCCAGGCCCAGTCTAAACTACTCACAGATCATCTCACTCAAGCCTCACAGAAGCCTTGTGTGGTCAGCACAAGCCCCATCACACAAGTGGGGAAGCAAAGGTCCAGGGGTGCTAAGTTACACGTCTACCACCCAGCTGCAGAGCTGTGGACACACCACAGTGGCTGGGCCTGGGGCTTGGAATACCCAGCCCTGAGCCCTTCTGTGGTTCCGGCAAGGTATGCCTGAGATGTGATGGTGGAATCCATAGCTGTCTATGTGTGGCCAGGTGTTGGCACACAGGTCCTACCAGAAGCAAGTAGAAAAGGGGCACTCTGGGTGCACATGTACACACACACACCCCTGAACGCAGAACTTGCACTGATTGCTGTCTGATTCTTACTCTATCAAGATCAAAATCCTCAACAAACTGCCACCACCTATTCTATGCGAAGCACCTGTGCCTTATTCCGGCCAGGCTGGCATCATGCTCCCAGGCCCGCCAGGCTCCTTCCCACCTGGGCTTTTGCTCACTCCACCATATACACCCCGACTCTGCCCTTGCTGGTGCAGCCTTCTTAACCACACACTCTCCTGGAGTTGGGCCTAGAGTAGCCTCCCTGCCAGGGAGCAGATGGTTCACTGAGAGGCATGTGGCACAACGGTGAGGCCCAAGAGGGCCCAAACCTGAAGAGATGCAGAACAGCAACAGTGTCCTCCCAGGGTGGTGGCAAGGGCAACGAAAGCCTCTGATCTACCACCTGGGCCCCTGTGAGCCATTGTTACCGAGAGGCAGTGGCATGCCTCCAGGATGCAGAACTAGGTAGGAAGTGGGGACTGCGGAGCACAAACTAGACAGACCACCTCAAGGCCAAGGCGTTCCACTGCTCCAGAGGACCAGTGGGGGAGGATGCAGGCTCAGTCCCTCGGCTCAGGGAGTAGCTCAGCCTGAAACTCGCACCCTCCCTGATGGGCCTATTCCCTGAGACCTGTCCAAGGTGGCTGTGCATTGAAAAGGCCAAGCTCTGATCAGTGTGACACAGGAAGAAGGGTGGGGCCCAACCGCCAACCGACTAACTGACATTTAGGGATGGGAGGGACAAGGGGCTGGTGCTGGGGGAGCTGCTTATTTTGGCCTGGGCAGCAGGGAGGTGGGCGCGGGAGGAGCAGGCCTAGAGGTGGCTGAGCCACGGGTGGCAGGCCTAATCCCTCTGGCTCTCAGACACATCCTTCTGGATCATTCCCACAGTTGGTTAAGGAAAGACTGGCCGTTTCCAGGCCACGGGAGGTTTGGAAGGCTCTAGGAGCAGGCAGCAGGGAAGTGGGGGATGGCTCAAAAGCCCTGGGCTTCGGCAGGCAGCCCGCTCTGGGGAATACCGAGTCCACAGTCAGGCTGCCAAGGCCAGCGATGGCCTGGGGGCAGAGGCAGGCTCCTTGAAATGCAAGGAGAAAGACCCAGAAAAACCTCAAGGAGCCAGAGCTAATCAGAGAGGCCGAGTGAGAGGCCTGAGCCTCCTCTGGGATCTGGGAAATGGTTCACGGACCTGCCTGAGCCTGTGCCATAGGCCAGGCTGGTGGCCACCCAGGCAGGACACACACATACACACCCAGTCTCTTGTGGTCATCCTTGTTGCAGGAAGCCCAGCGTGGGGCTGGGACCATAGGCCAAGTCTTTGTGGGGTCCTTGAGAGGTGTCCAGGGCTTATATAGACAGGGAGTTTTCTGGGGGTTTCTAGCTCTAAGACTATTCTTCCCAGTCTCTGTCCCAAAGTTGCCAAAGCCTGGGGTCCACACACCAAGGGAATTTCCCCTGTGTTCTCTGCCCCATGTGGGGCCAGCCAGAACAGGCCTGGGGAGGTGCACTTGTGGGCTGGTTTCTATACAGTGGAAGGGGCTTGGGTGTGGCCCCACTTACTTCAGTGGTTCAGGTGGTTTTAGGGAGAAGAGCCTCCCGTCTCCGGTAGGGGCTGACTCCAGAGGCAGCTGGCCACGTGTGCCAACCTCTATGCTCCCTCCCAAGAACCTGCAAGCCCTTACCTTCCCCGGTCTTGGAGGTGTTGATGTCTGAGTCATCCCGGGTCCCATTCTGGGCCTCTAGGTAGGTGGCAGGGACCCAGCCCTGCTCCTCCGAGGTGCTAACAAACCACCATCCTGTAGAGGGGACAAGAAAGAACAGGCCTTGAGAACCTTCTCAGGGTGGTGGAGGTGGGTTGAGGGCAGGGATGCAGAGGGAAGGAGTGGCCAGAGGGCAGGGCACAGGGCCAGATGGCCTGGGCACCAGGCAAAGGCCTTTCCCTTGGCCAGCCTTGAGGGGCCTGGGTTCCATCTAAGGCAGAAAAGACCTACACACTCCCTGAGATGACCAAACAAACTGCCATCCATTCCTATACATTTGATGAAGAAAAARAAAATCCAAAGACCAAATAGAAATAATGATGTCCTACATGAGAAATGCACCTTGCAGGAAAGGCCAAGTGYGCTCTGTCCCTGCACAGAAGACTCTGGGTCTTTCAACCCACTATGACCATGAGAAGGGTGGAGGTTGGTGCCTCCTCTGCTTTCAGAGGCAGCGAGGCAGACCGCCTCACACCTTTCTAGCACAGGTCAGCAGTATTGTCACCTCAGTGCCACTCCCAGCTGCTCTTGGGTGGTGTGGCCATTTCAATCACAGTAAATGAGTGTTATAGCCTCAGGTGACCCCTGACAACGGCAGCCACACATGAAGGCTGGGCGGGTTATTTCTGGCATCCTGGTCCTAAGGAGCCAACAGCTCAGAGAACTAAACCAGCCCTCTCTACAGAGGATGAAACTGAGACCCCAGAAGGGCCTCTGAGCCAAATAGACCTGGGCCTCAATGGGCTTTGCAGAGCTGCAAGCAGAGTACAGAACTCTCCAGAAAGGGCGGGCAGCAGAGGGCATTTGAGCCTAGGCCTATTTGGTTCAGAGGCCTCAGCTGGGTCAAATACTATGACCCAGGGCCCCTGATGGCCACCTAGCATGAGCCACAGAGAGTCTATCTCTGCCTGGGGTGAAAGACAGGGAGCAGTAGGGTACCTACCTAAAAAACCCAGGTCCTGCCCTCTGCTCCCTGGGCCCATCTTCCACCTCAGGCCTGGCCAACCCCAGTGACCAAGGCCTTCCCTTGACATAATCCATATAAGCCTGAGAAAAGCAGCCTGGCCCACCAAGTCACAAACCTTCAGTCAGGAAGAACTGGGGACACACTCCTGCTGCTGGAAGAACTGAAACCATAGGTCTAACTTCCTTTCCTTCTTGCTCTGGCTCCAAACTCCCATCTCCCAAGATGGCTCACTTGGACTGCCCATGCCCAAGCCACCTCTTGCTATGCTCACTTTGCAAACAGGTACGTAGGTGATGAGGAACTGTGGCAGAGAGACTGTGAGCCTTGACTGGTCCCTGAGCATGTGGGCCCTAAACCCTATTCTGTGCCACTGCTGCAGGACCAGGGGGAGGGCATTTCATTTAAACACTGCCCCACAGACCCTGAGACTTCCTGCACCAGGCCTATCAACAGGATCCARAAGAGGATGTGATCTGCAGGCTGATGGTTTTCTGGTTCAAGGGAAAAAGGAGGCTTGACTTTTCTTTTTTAAACTGTATTGGAGATTTACCACTGAGATGCTTTACCACTGAGCTATATTCCCAGCCCTCATTTTTAATTCTGAAACAGGGTCTTTGTAAGTTGTTCAGGCTGGCCTTAAGCCTGCAATCCTCCTGCCCCAGCCTCCAGTCACTGGGATTACAGATGTGTGCTATTGTGCCTGGTGAGGCTTAACTTCTTAAGAGGGAACAGCTGAAGTCATTGAGCAAATTGTGGGGACAGGCAGGTACTGGCATCTACTCTTGGGGCCAGGGCAGCAGCCACAAGGCAGTTCAGAGTCTAGTGGAACACTCCACTGACATCCACTGGCATTTCCCAACTTTGGGTCTGAGGATGGTTATAAGGGTACCAGACACTTGCACTCAATCAACTTCTGGTGAAGTGACTGGTTCCAGGAAGCTGATACTCCTGGGAGCTGATAGCTCAGATTGTGTGTTAAGCACCCTCAGAACCTGCTAAAGGGAGATGGATGCTCACTTTGGGGTCCAGAACACGCTAGAAGAGGTGGTCCTTGGCCCTGGGGAGCCCCTGACCAACATATAGGTTAACAAAAGAGGCCAATCTGACACTCTGAGGGAGGAAGGCTGACAGGACCACCATTCATTGACATGGTGGGAAGGGTTTTATTGTCCACGTCTTTTGAACCAGGAAGACCTTGAGTCCCACAAGCTGCTCAAGAAGTGCTAGAGGATCTGTCTCCAGAATGATGTCCAAGGAGGTCTTTGTCCACTCTTTGCAGTGTTGGGCAGCAGGAGGCAGAGGAAAGCAGGAGCAGCCAGATTGGGGGGGGGCACTTTAGGCACTCTGACCCAAGGCTTTGGGTGCACGTGGAACTCCCCTCTTGGCACAATTCAGGTTGGTAAAGAGCTGTGTCTTGCTTGAATGGGATGGGAGTGGCCACCTTTGTCTTACCCACAGCCATCTGCACATTTTGACCCTATTAGGCGAGGGAGGGCTGCTTGGAGCAGCACCACCCATCCTCTGGAAGCCCAGGCCACAATGGCTTGGATGCTCAGAAGCTGTGGCTGATTGGGCCCCAAAGCAGCCAGAGGGTGTTGCCYTTTCAGGGGACCCTGGGTGGGATATCTGCCTCTCAGTCTCTAGGGTAGCACTCTCAGGAATTCCATCAGTCTCTGCCAGGAAGCCCCAGTCCCAGCAGTTCCTCTACAACCCTGGCTGAAGGTCATGGAGCAAGGTTCCTCCATCTCACTGGGTTGGCATCACTTGACCTTGCCTCCTTAACCACTGAAGTGGGCGCAGCTGGCCAACCGGGTCTGTCTCTCTTTTTTCCATAGCTTGAACCAAGGGGCGCTCAACCACTGAGCCATATCCCCAGCTCTTTTTTATATTTTATTTAGAGAAAGAGTTCTTCACTTTTACTGAGGCTGGCTTTGAACAAATGATCCTCCTGCCTCAGCCTCCTGAGCTGCTGGAATTACAGGCATGTGCCATCCCACCCAGCTGGCCAGCCATCTCGATTGGTTTGTCGTCTCTCCAAACACTGTGATAGTTCAGGGGTAGATCTGTGACCCAAGCAGGGCTATTCAGGGGCTGTTCTAAGAGCTGACAATGGCGCTTTGATGATCTGAATCCCGAGTCCCACACAAGCAGGAATCACAGGGGCACGTAGGAAGAGAAGGCCAGAGAGCCAAGTCAATAAAGCAGCAGGTTTGTCATGAGAAGGAGGACAAGCTAGTCCTGAGGACATCTTCTACCTGGGAGTCTGGTGTACCAAAACTAGACCAGCCTGCTGGACTTCCTCATTCAATAAGCCAAGGAACTGTTCATTGACCTGGAGGTCCACGGAAGAGGGCAATTGATGAGTTGACCTGGAGCTGGGTCTCAGTCATTTGAACAGAGAAAGCCCTCACTAATCACCATCACAATCTCCAAGCATCACATGAGCCCAGTCTGAAGAACAAAAGTCATCTGTCACCACGGACCTCAGCAGGTGGGCACTGAATCCTCCAAGCCACTCCAGGCAAGGTGCCACTGCCCCAAATCCTGCTCACCAGGATGATCCCCAAGACCCCCAAARAGCAGTCACCAACTTTGGTCACTTTCAGAGGCTCTTGAAAGCCAAGGCTTACACATGACTTCCCAGGACCAGGGTCTAATTCCAAGAGCACAGTTGTGGCTCTCCCATCTCATCCAGATCCTTCCAAGCAGACCTCCAAAGGCCTACCCTCTAAGCCAAGCCGTGTCCAGTAGCCAAGGAAGTGCCTGGAAGGCCTGGCTTCAGATGGGAGCCCTTCTTCCAGAGAGAAGGTTTCCCCAGAACAGACTTGGGCAGGGGCCAGGGATTTTATTGTCATTGGATGAAATGAGATGTGCTTTGAGGAATAGCATAGCTCAGGAGCACGCCTCTGGTTAGGGACTTGCCAAGATCACTTCATGACCAACCTCTTTTTCTACACCAAGGTGTCCCTGCCARTACCATGCTCTCAAACAACCCCCCTTCTCCCTCTTCATCCACACTGGGAGACTATTTCTTCCCTTTTCTTGGGTGAATCTAAGGTCCCAGATAAGCAGGTGTCTTGGTGGTCTCGTGGCTGGCTGTCTTCTAAACCTTCTCTCTGCTTCTAGAACTTGGGACCCAAAGTAATCCTCAGCAGAAGGAGGCAACCCCCCTTCCATGGATGCAGAAGGGAGACCACATTCCCTCTGCCTGTGACTGTGAGTGCTGGAACCTCTGCTTTCCTGGGGGGATTTTCTTCATCAGTCTCATCCAACTGGTCTGTATCCTGAAAAGTTGGGAAGCAAGTCCCAGAGCTGCTGCCCTCTCACATGGGCCTTTCTCTTTGTCTCAAGTGCCCTATGATCCTGGGACTCAGGTCTTTTCTCTGTTGGAAGCATCATGTCTTCTACCCCTTATTCCATTCCTGGGAGCCCTTCCATATACATGCTGCTCTTTCCCATTCCCAGGAGCCAGGGACAGGGCAGGAGCGGGTGGAGGGTTGATCTGCACCTATGAGCACCAGGGGCACTCCCAGGGCAGGGCAGGGCAGGGCAGGACAGGGCAAGGCAGAGCAGGCCAGTTCCTCCTTCTACCTCTGCTGCGTAGGCCTCAGCACATTGGAGGACTGGATAAGGACTTATGAGGGGCTGAATGGATGCAGAGGTGCCCAGTGGGCAAAGCATCACCACAATTGGTACTTGACACTGTCTCTGGATGCCCCATGGATGTGCTCTGCTGTCTGAATCCTAGCCTTTCTAACATCTCTGTTGTTCTAGAAGCTTCTGGGACAACTAGGCACATTGCCTGTTGACTATGAACATCTCTCCCCAGGACAGTAACTTAGGATCCTATTCTGCTGTGGCCCTAGGACCTGGGGCTAACACTGTCACCCCCCCAGCCTGATGCCCCAGACAATCTTGCCTGAGAACACTGGCCTAGGTTCCACTCTAGCCCAACACTTGCAGAGTGTGCTGGGTGGCTTCTGACTCAGGCTCCTCCTGAATCAGGCTCTGAGGAGGAGACAATGGCTATAGAAAAGAGACAGCCGTGGGCTTGGCTGTGGGCATCTCT